CAGCCAGTGTTAGCTTCTCATAAACTTCACCATCCATCAACTCTATTACAAGTTCAAGGAATTGGACTTTGCCAGGTAGATACATGTCTTGGTTTTTTCTTTCCTCGGACTAAAATTCCATTATATTTAGAAACGCGTCGCTTTTTTAATAATTTTTTAATTTTTTAAAATATTTGTTTATATATCTTTGAATTCAAAGAAATATTAAAATTAAAAATATTGATCCATAAAATATAAAATTTTTCATTTTATTTATAAAACAATGAACTTCTTCAATTTATTCTCCCTTAAATTTTGAAAATTTAGGTTTTGTGAAATCATCTTTTTTTTTTTCTTTTTGTAACGAGTTTAATTCTTAACTATAAGTAAATAATTTTCAATGTCTTTTTTTTTATTTAATTTTAATTGTCTATCAAAACCAGTTATTTTTATCGAAACACTTTTGTTTTCAATTGCTATTAACTAAAACTAACAATAAATTTAAGCAGCTACTAAAACAGCTAACAACAATTAAATAATATTGATGCTAAAATATGTAAATTTGCCGATCCTTAGTCTAAATCTACGCGTCCGTATCTATGAAGTTTTTTGATTACTAGACTTAATGGATGGTCTGAAGGAATTTGGTTTGGTGAATAATAGAGGCAGTAAAAACTTGTATAGTCATCTGGCTTTAAGATTAAAATTGCTTGGCTGGAATGACGACATATATCAATACATACATCATGGTTAACTTATTGGCTGGAGCAAATAAAGACTTATGAGAAGAAGAGGAAACTTCATTAATGAATAGAACCAGAAATAAAAAGAGATTCAACATAAGAAGAACATCTCGTGAGAAGAAATCTCAAACTAAATATGAAAACCAGTATAGAAACATCATAATATTGCTAAAGCATGAGAAGCTTTATTTACCGATCCCCTAACCTAATCAATAGTAACATGATCATTGTTGTTACACAACTCAAACACAATCTCTAGAACAAGATTTGATTGTCTTTTAATCAGAACATTATAGTGATTTGCAAAATAAACCTTTGCATGTAAATAAGCATATGAATCCTTATAATATAATTGTCAATAAAGTATTACATACTAATAAATTTAAATAGTTTACAAATAATAATCAGAATACTTTTGTCCATTGAATTATTTTCCTGACATATCCTTATATAATAATTATTGAGATAACTATAAGAGAATGATGACCAAATATATTTTTTTTTCTTTACTTATAATGTGTGCACTTATTTTTTAATTTATATTTATTTTGTTCATGAAATTTAAGATTAAACTTAAACTAACATAATATTTAAGATATATAATGTTAAAAGAAATTTGAACTCACCTTCAAAATCATCGTTTTACCTTATTATATATATACACGATGTAACACTTTACCATTAAACTAAAAAAAGAATTATTATTAGGCAGTTATAGTAATTAAATCATCGTTTTTCTTAATGTAATTGTCAATCAATTCGATCGTAACTATTGTCAAAACCAACATTTTTCCCTCCCTTTGTTTTTCTTTTTCCATCTACTTCACAAGTGACATCCAGACATAGTTTGCTACGAATTTCTTAGTTTTTCTTAGTTTGTAGATTTTAAATATCATATTCATTAAAAAATTATGGTTTGGAGGAAAACGCAGCATAATGGTTAACTTATGAAAGAATTTAGAGACAAAGAAAGACTTGCATAAGTCTTCAGACAGTGACTGAAATTGACACAACACTTCAATCTAGTCGTTTTCAGGCTTAACTATTCACTTGTTGATTGACTTTTTTAATTAGAGGGTTATAAGTGAAAGGCAAATAAATTTCATCCTTTGCCCAAACCAAAGATAAGAATCAATATCTAATAAATATCCCTACGTGGTATTTGGCGTAGGAAAAAACTTATCTTAGACTTTATTTATGTTTCATCTATAAATTAAACTAATAAAATTTGTATTTTATTGAAATGTTGAGTATTTCTGATCAGTGATATTTGAAAAAAAAGTCAAAATCATTTTAAAAAATTTTTTCATAATTTCATTTACTTGGTCTATAAATAAGTTCATGCACGTATGTAGACAACTTTTTTCCATATGGTGCATGCATGCAAGACTTGAAAAGTTCTTGCCTTGGATGTACTTTTATTTTATTTTTGTTTTAATGAGGTGTTCAAAAATATGAAAAATATTAGTCTAGCTTATTATTCTAAATTCTTTTTTTTAAAAAAAAAAAACCTTGAGAAAAAGATAGATAGTGCAGAAACAGAAACCAACATAATTTCTAAAAGATAAAATTTAAATTTCTTAATTATTCTTCATTAATCATGGATTTCAACTCCACCAATCTATATAATCCACTTTTGTTAAAAAATAAGTAGAGTAAATTATTCTAATTATTAAAAGAAAGTATATGTGGTAATTTATAATAACAATCAAATAGAATAGAATTACAGTGCTCTTGCAATAAGTGGTAGAATTAAAGAGAATGTTTAAAATAATTATTAAAAAAAAAGAGGAGAACATTTATCATGAAATTCAAACAAAAAGGTAATCGTGTGGTCTATAAATAGGAGTGATATATGCTGAAAATTGGATCATATAATTTGGCAAACACAAAACATGGGTTTTGTTTGCTTACTGTGGCAATTTTCATTTCTCTGCCTCCTTACTATTTACTTCCATTTTCACAATCTTTTCTCTCAAATTTACAATTCCCCTTTCTCCAATGTAGTTTGCCGCTTCGATGCAAAGCAATGGCTTGCTCCTTCAAAATCCTTCTCCATTAGCGGAGTTAATCATCTTTTATTAATTATTATCCCAAGACAGATTCATGGAAAAAGGGCAGGATTGTTGCTTCTTTTGGGATTGGTGTTAGCTGTGACTTTAATACTGGTATGTGGTTGGGCTTTAAACTTTCTAGCAGTATGCTTTACGGTAACTTGCATTTAATAATTCTCTTCTTTTCGCTCTTCATCATCTTCAAAAACTAGATCTCTCTTACAATAATTTCAGAGGCTCCATAATTCCATCTCAAATTGGCCATTTGTTGAGCTTCACACACCTCAATTTAAATCATTCAAACTTTGATAGCCAAATTCCATTAGAAATCGGTCAGCTATCCAATTTGGTTTCTATTGATCTTTCCCGGAACTTTCGTTTGACATTAGAAACAACTGGTAGTTTTGACAAGCTTATTCGAAACTTAACCAAGTTGCAAGAATTGGACCTAAGCGGTGCAGACCTGTCTTTCGTTTCTCCTAATTCCTTTATCAATTTATCTATTTCTTTGTCCCCCCTCAGACTCTCATCTTTTGGGTTGAGAGGGAAATTTCCAGACAGTATAATTCAGCTTCCACATCTCGAAGTCTTAGACTTAGTGTACAATGAAGGCCTCAGTGGCTCCTTTCCAACGTCAAATTGGAGTCTTTCACTTTACCATTTGTCTCTTTCTCACACTGAAATTCCAGTATATTTAAAAAATGAATTTTTCAAAAATCTAAATTTATTGGAATCAATGCAACTCGAAAGTTGCAATTTCATAGGGTCTAATCTTGCATTTTTTGGTATTTTATCAAAACTCACTAAGTTGTACCTATCAGAAAATAATTTCGTTGTTCAAATTCCATTAGAAATCGGTCAACATCGGTCAACTATCTAATTTGATTTCTCTTTTTCTTTCCTCGAACAATCTTTTAATACAAACAACTACTAGCTTTAACAAGGTTGTTCGAAACTTTACCAAGTTGCAAGAGTTGGACTTATGGGGTACAAGCCTCTCTTTGGTTTCACCTAATTCATTTATCAATTTATCTTCTTCTTTGTCATTTCTCATACTTTCATCTTCTGGATTAAGAGGAAAATTTCCAAATAATATAATTCAGCTTCCAAACCTTGAAGTCCTTGATTTCTCAAGGAATGAAGGTCTCACTAGCTCCACTTTTATATCAAATTGGAGTATCTCACTCAGCTGCTTGTCACTTTCTTCGACTAAAATTTCGATTTATTTAGAAAATGAATTCTTCAAGAATTTGAAGTTGTTAACTCAATAGTTGCAATTTTATAGGGTCTAATCTTGAATTGTTTGGTAATCTATCCAAACTCAATTTATTGGGACTTGCAGACAATAATTTCAGTGGCCCAATTCCATCCTCAATTGGAAAACTTGACAAACTCTATGGCTTGGACCTTTCATACAATAATTTTGGTGGCCCAATTCCTCCCTCATTTGCAAACCTTAGCCAGCTCTTCTATTTAAATATGGGAAGCAACAATATCAATGGTTCAATTCCATCTTTCATTGGAAACTGCAACCAACTCCAAGATTTGAGCCTTTCATACAATAATTTTAGTGGCCCAATTCCTCCCTCATTTGCAAACCTTAGCCAGCTCCATTCTTTATTAATATATCAATGGTCCAATTCCTTCAGATATTTACAGGCTCTCCAGCCTTGTGTACTTGAGTTTGTCTAATAACTTGCTCACTGGTCAAGTATGTCAATTCAAATATAATAATACATTAAAAGGTGTTGATCTGAGCCATAACAAGTTGTCTGGCACAGTTCCAAGCTCAATTTTCAATGAGGTGGACTTGGTGGTTCTCATTCTTTCATCAAATGAGAAATTGACAGGAGAAATTCCTTCTGCAGTTTGTGAGTCAAAATCACTCCAAATCCTTGACCTGTCGAGTAACAATTTCAGTAGTCCCATCACAATGTTTGGGAAACTTCAGCAGTAGCCAGACTTTTCAGTATTACATCTGGGTATGAAACTTTAATGGAGTTCTCACCTCAGTTTTTCAGAAAGGAGTAACGTGAGATATCTTGAATTTAATGGAACAACTGCAAGGGAAAATTCCCAACGTATTTCATTGTAAAGGATTTGGAAATTTTTAGATAGTACGGAAGACAATGGATAGAGACACATTCCCTTTCTTTTCTACAAACTATTCAAAAGTTTGAGATTCTACAGCTACGATCCATAAGAACCCTGGTTTTGTGAAAAGAACTATCCATTGGCCAACTATCCGTTTCCCAAGCTACGGATTGTGGACCTCTCCAACAACAATTTCAGCGGACCTTTGCCTTCATATTATTTCAATAATTTCGATGCAATGATCAATGTTGATCAGAATATAACATACATGGGAGCACTAAGCTACTATTTCTATCATTATGATTATTCTGTGAGCTTGACATTGAAAGGATTGGAAATTGAGTTGGTGAAAATCCAAACTCTTTTAACAACCATTAATCTGTCAGGTAATAACTTCACAGGAAAAATTCCCAAGTCAGTTGGAAAGCTTAAAGCACTTAAGCAGCTCAACTTGTCACATAATCATCTCACAGGCGATATTGAACCATCAATAGGAAATTTGACCAATCTGGAAACTTTAGACCTCTCTTCAAATAATCTTACTGGAAGGATTCCGATCCAATTGGCAACTGTGACATCCCTCGAAGTATTTCGTGTTTCGCATAATCAACTTGAAGGACTCATACCTACAGGCCCTCAGTTCAACACATTTGATAATAGCTCGTATGAAGGAAACACAAGACTGTGTGGATTTCCACTGCAAAAGGCATGTAATTCTGGTGAAAGGCAATGAGTGACGACCCCATCAGGCGAAGAAGATTCAAACTCTGATGAAAGTGGATTTGGATGGAAATCTGTTTTCACGGGATATGCATTTGGAGCAGTGTTTGGTCTCGCAATGGGATACCTTGTGTTCAGAACAAGAAAACCTGCTTGGTTGGTGAAGCTGATTGAAGGGTGAGGACATCCAAGGCTGAAAAGAGTATCAACAACACCTGCATATCTTACCAAAGAAGAAGAGAAGAAATTCGTGGATGATTGCTTTCCTCTGAAGGTAAGTTTTAATATCTATCTTCAATCTAATTAACAGATTTTTATTTTATGACTGTTTGGAAATGATGAATAAGCAGATGGTGCATTTGCATGCCAAGTGGAAAGAAGAGATCTCTTCTGTTGCACCAGAATCAAATGCGCTACTTGGAACATCTACAAAAAAGCTCTTTTCAATTTTTTAAGCTATAATTTCCTCTCTGTTTTTTGTTGTTTTTCTCTTCTTTTTTCTGTGTGTGTCTGTATATGTAAAATAATTTTAAAGTCACACTTGATTTGTCACTTGAAATAAAATTCAAATTAACTAACTGATACCTACGTATGTTTAGCTTGATATAATTGTAAATTTGTAAAAAAAGTCAAAAACTAACATTTTTCTCTTTTTTTTTATTTTTTTTTTATTTTTTGAAATTCTAACAAAACAAATGTTGACTCATTAACTTAACTAGTTGCTTCTATGATGCTACTAATTATGCTATTCAATGAAATTGCAATGCACGAAATTAAATTGTTCAAATTAAATTTGTTCCATTTATAGCACAAAGACACAATTTAAGAATTAGATTTAAACTATATATATATTTAAATTATATATAAGGTGGGAAAAAGGGAAGGAATAATGCGATTACCTACATACCTTTAACGGAAAATTTTAAAATGTTCTAAAATATCCCTTAATGATGGCCCAATTAAAAATTACAGTTTATTTTAATTAGTTTGATTGGATATATTTATTTTTTAATAAATATATATTGATAATAAGACATTTGAATTTTTATATTTTTTTTTTTGAAATTTAATTATTTATTTTTTTGATTTCATTTTGAATATAATTTAAAGTATTTTATTTAGGAGAGAGATAAACCTAGAAAAAATGTATTTTTTATTAATACTCTTTTGTCTTATGTTTGTATGATTTGATTTGATATATTTTTTAAAAATAAATTTTCAAGTAGAATAAGTTTTTAAATATAAAATTTTGAAATTATATTACATATAAATATTCTGTTATTTAATTTTTTTTTTTTTTGTTTTTGTAGTTCTTTCTATGGAAAAAATAATAAATGATAAAGTGGTGTATATGAGAATATTTAATTATTTTTTCCTTCACTTTCTTTTTCTTATAGTCGATTATCTAAGATATAAAATAGTTACCTAATATTTTTTGTTATTATAAAAAAGAATATGTGATATTTTTCTTTTATAATACTCTTAGAAATAATTGGATTATGGCAATAAAGGTAAAAAAATCTTATACAATAATAAGAAAATAAGAATAATTAAATATTTAATTGATTTAAATAGTTTATGTGAAATTTGATAAATTTCTTTAATCTTCCCTTGAACGAATTGTCTTAAGGGGGGGAGATTGTAATACCCCGAATTTTTATTTTCGAAACTTTTGAATTTTTATTAAATCAAAAATCAAAAATTTTAATCATGTGGACTGCAAGTATAAAATTGCCTCAATTCAAGCCCAAGTTTACGAAGTTGGGCTCAAGCCCAAAACACATTATCGAAATTTATCTTAAAAAAATCGAATATTATGATTATTAATATTAACATTAAGTAAATTGAAGAAATGTTATAGAACCTAACTAAAATAATCAAAATAAATTAAACCAGACTCGAAAATCAAATTGATTTTTCGAAAACCACACGAATAATCTGAAAACCAAATAAAACCAAGCTAAAACCATGATTTAAACCAAACCAGACTCGAATCGACCCAAACCCCATCCACCAATTAGAAAATTCTAAAAAAAAAAAAGAAAAAGAAAAAGAAAAAGAGAAACGAGAAGAGAGACTCAGTGTTCTCTCTCTCGCTATTCTCTCTCAACAACCCCCCCTCCCCTTTTCTTCTCGTTCTCCGGTCATCGGTCACCAAATTCGACAAATAAATACTCTAAAAATATCTACTCATCGCAAGGAGTCTGATTCAAGCCTTGGTTTGCGCGATTTGAGAGAAATCTCAACTGAAACGTTTGGCACCGTTGCAACAACTTCTCCGGTGATTTCCCATCGTTTTCGATGACTTGAGGCATCGAGGTAGGTGTTGATCGACTCCTCTCTTTTCCCTCTTTCATTTGATGGCCTCCTCGTCGATTGTAATAGCCGAAATCGGAAAATCCAAAATGGGTATCACCGAACCTTTTCGGTCAATTTCTAGCCAAATAGTTCATACCCACCTTGATTTGAATACATAGTAGTGATCCTTTGATTTGAATACATATTAGTGATCCTCTCATCGAAACGAATAAAATGATATATTGTTTGTCAATTTTGGTGAAGATTTGACTTTTTCGGCCACCGTGTACGGCGGCGGCGGTGGTTCGGCGACCGGCTGGCGACACTCCGGCGAGACTTCAAAAGACAGAATGCTCTCCTCTTCGCGCGGATTACGGAAATAAAATCTGATTTTCAATCGGTACACTCTAAAGCTTAATTCGCAATTTTTGAATAAAGTTCGAATTAATTAATTAATGAACTTAATTAAGTATTTAAGTAAATTAAATTAAATATTGTTCAATATATTTCATGAATATTAATTATAACTATGAGGTTGGTACTGAAATATAAATTCCTAGCTAATAATAAATTTTAGGAATTTTATTAACAAATAAACAAATAAATAGTTATAGAACAATTAATTATAATGGAACTGTGTGAAATTGAATGAACGGATGAATGAATGGTTATGGGCGGATGGGATCAGTTAATGTGAATTGGCCCGATGGAATGGGCCCTATGTGTTGACATGTAGATTATGTAAAATTTTGGATTAGTCCAGGTTTATAGAGGAAATGCTGCCGAATTTTCAAGTAAAGGCAATGAAGAATTAAATTAGTTATATTATTAACAAGTAGTGACGACTAAAACTTTAGGTATTATAAAATATTATAATATCATTATTATTATTATTGATATAAAATATTCCTCACCGAAGAACTAGAAATTTTATCTAAAGGTTATAAATTGGAATAAATAAATAAATAAGAAAACATTATAAATATACAATTTAGTTTGAAATGTGAGTAAAATGACTAGTAACCAAAACTAATAATTAAGAAGAGATACATTTCTCGAATTAGACATCTTATTTAGAATTTTCTTATTATTTTTAGATGTTTATAAAGTCCCGAAAGGTGAAGACAAAGAACTGTGAGTAGTATTAGATAATTCGCCTCATCCGCCTGCATTCATGCATTCACGGCTAAATGTTATCATGCATTATTGCCATATTGTGATGCATATTGTGATGCACTATAATTGTTGATATTAAATATTGCTTTGATTTACTTGTGCTGTGATATTCATTGTGCCTTGTTTGGTGTGGAAATTTGGGATGAAGTGGGTCACATGGGTTGTGAGACCGTTACCGTTATAGTAGATCCTAGGATATATGATTTAGCCGGGTAAAGGGAGATATGGCGCACCCATAAGTGCACCTAAATCTCAGTTACCACAGTTACCAGTTACACAGTTTACCGCAGAGTAGAAACCTCTTTGGGCGCACCGAGTAGCCTCTTTGGGCGCACCTGATGATCTAGATTTGATCGTTGCCCGCAGGGTGGCCTCCTGTTGTGTGCACCTGATGATCTAGATTTGAGGGAAACGACCGGGATGCCGCCTGTCGATATAAAAAAAAATAACAAAAAAAGAAGAGAAAGAAAAGAGAATGGAAAAATAATGAGAAGACCGGTCGTGTGAGGATTATACCGGTCAGCCGGAATGAGGGATTGGCTCCCTAGTGCACATGTGAGTGGATGGGCCATGTGTGACGACGGCTCATCTGGTTTCGGTGACTCCACTGACTAATTTCCACGTGATGTGATTATATGAAGGTGATAATAACTGTGATTGCTGTTGTATTGCCATTTGTGTGGCCATTTTGTGTGCCAAACTGCAAATGAAATCATTAATAACTAAAACGGGTGAGACCACAATAAAAATAATAATTTAGCAATTTGAGATAATATTGTGTGGGGGGTGAAGAAGGGTATATCTAAAATCCTGCTAACACTGAAAGTCTAAAGTAAACTTACCCCCACCCTTAAACGCTCCCCAGGTAAATAGATGAAAAGAAGAATCCCTGAGAGTCTCCAATGGCGAAAAAAACGAGATAACGGATACGAAATAGGAAGTAATAATAACATTTGCAGTGAATATGGTAATGCCAGAATAGTGAATTATGGAGTATATATTCGACGAAATTGTAATTCCCAACTGGGGATTTGTAATAATATGAATAATAGAGTATAGACATTTTATTATTTGGATTTTGTTTTAACTTTGGATATAATTTGTGAATATTATTGGGAATAGTACCTGAAATCATCCACCAATTGTGAATAGAATGCGAGTTTTAAATAGTACATAAAACAATAGGCTTACTAAAAAAACGAGCTTCGGGGAGCCTTAGACAAACCTCAACCAAACATGGATCGCCTAAGTGCTATATCAGGTCCGTCCATGGAATGGGGTCGTGACAAGTTGGGTATCAGAGCATTAGGTAATGGGTCCTTAGGAAATCAATGCGGAACAATAGGAAAATGAATATAGGACTCTATGGTTGGGATCCGGCGTAACCAACAAAGGAGGTTAATAGTCTGGATTGAATTTCCATTTTAGTGCCGGTGGAACGCATCCGTGCTACGGGATGGAGGAAATCTAATATATGAAAACTTAGGCATGGAAGAACTAAAGGTAACATAAAAAATAGTGAAGTTAATAAATAAAAGGTCTGGGTAAACTGAACGTTTAAAATTAAATAAAGATTTTGAGTTTTGTTAAATCTTCCCAGTCGAGTTTTGAAGCAGAAGATCAGTTGGAAATTGGTTGTATAATGGCCCTGTATTACCCAGTACAACCTTTTATCCGACAAGAGGGCATTGCTCATTATTTTGACAA